CCACCCCCCGGCCCCCGCCCCTCCAGGCCAACGTACGGAGACGGATGCCAATTTTTAGTGACTGCCTGCTTGTGCCTGGGGACCCCGGGTCAGAGGAAAGTGGGGAGAGCGGAGGGGTGGTGGTCCTGGGGCCCTGTGCCCCCCAGAAGGGCCGTCAGCGCCAGGAAGGGTCTCCTCACACCCACCCAGATCCCTCCGTGCCAGCCACACGTGTCCCTGCAGCCCCCAGCTGCCCCCGATGCTCCCCCACCGCTCTGGCCACGCAGGCTGGACGTGCTGCCGTTTGCTGGTGACTTCCCCCGGGTGGGGTGCCCAGGGACGGGTCAGGTGGGCTGGGGCCAGGATGGCTCCACAGACACCTTCCTGTTTGATGTACCCTGAGGTCTCATTAGCCCTCCTAGACCCGGTGCGGACTGTGCGACCTTCCCGGCCGCACATTCCACCTCAGGAGCATCCACTGCAGACACCTTCGCCTCGGTTTCCCTAACTGTAAAATGGGGCGAGCACAGAGAGCACCTGCCCAGCAGGCTTGCGGAGGGAGGGGAGGCGAGGACCGCGGGCCGCCGCCAGGGGGCGCCCGAGCGCCACCGCCCCACGCTGTGCCGGGTCCTGGCTGCACCTCTGACCCACAGCCCCAGGCCAGGAAAGCTGCTCCCAGCGACCCCTGAACCAGCTGCGCCTTCCCTGCACCCCACCTCCCTCCTGGAAGGCTGAGTGTGTCAGAGACCCGCCCCCAGATGTGCATCAAACCTCAGGCGCTGTGGCCGATGAGCAGGTGTGAAGGGTGCCTGGTGGGAATCGCGGGGACAGTGTGACCGGGTGTGATGCAGATTTGCTGAAAGAATGCATGTGACCCGCAGCCCGGTCAAGGCCAAGAACACGGCAGAGCTGAGTCTGGCGCTTTCCCCAACAATCCCTTCGCTCACCCGGCCTTGGTGACCCTCACGGACCCTGTCACCCCTCATGCCCGTTACCCTGCATGAGAGCTCCCAGAACAGGGTCCCTTCAGTGGAGAACGCTCCAGGGCCACCAAGACAGGCGGCCCAGGTGGTGAAGTAAAAGGGTCTGGGGAATGATGCCTGGGACACAGAAGCAGATACCTGAATTCCACTTCCTCCTCTTGGCAAGGAAATGGGGCCAAACCTCTTTCCGGTCAGGGCCCCTTCCTCTTAGTGGAGGATGAAGCCAAGGGTCCATCTAGCTTAGAACAGAGAAAAAGTCCTGTTTCCAAAGAATCTGCCCAGGTCTTGGCAACCAAGGGAGTATCAGGAGGACATGATCTATGATAGTCAATTTTATATATCAAGTTGACTAGGCCATAGGGTACCCTATTCGACGTTTGGCCGAATGTTAGACTGGATGTGTCTGTGACGGTGTTTCTGGACGAGAGTAACATTTAAACCAGTAGCCCGAGCAAAGCAGATTGCCTTCCCTACGTGGGTGGGCCTCGCCCAATCAGTTGAAGCCTGACTAGCACAAAAAGGCTGAGGCCCCCAGAGTTAAGAGGAAAACCCTCTATCTTCATTGTTTTTAAGCTGGGGCATTAGCTTCTTCCTGTCTATAGACTTGAACTGAAACATCCACTCTTCTCGGGTCCCCAGCCTGCTGGCCTTCGGACTAGAGCTGTATCATCACCCCTCCTGGGTCTCCAGCTTGCTGACTGCACACTTGGGACTTGTCGGCCTCTGTGATCACGTTATACGTATATATGTATATATACATCATACATATACGATATTCCTTATGTGTCTATATGACACATATACGTCTATATATGATATTCCTGCTATGCGCACATACACGCATCTAGTTCTATTTCTCTGGAAAACCCTAATACGGTGTTCTAATCAGGAGCAACACGACACCGTCTTACTCTCTTCTGCCACAGTGGCAAAGACCAGTCCTTTGGGCACAGGGAGGAAATTGGCACGTGTGCAAATCTGTCGAGTCAACATATCCTCTTTGGAGCCCGTCCTTGGAAACAGCTGCACGTGGTGGGGGCGTCTCGCGCACGTTAACGACGTTCATGAGGACGTTGTGGTTCCCCCACCCGCCAGCACCCACGGCCTCCCTCGTCAAGGGGCTCCAACGTCTGGCCAATCAAACCAGCCTCCTGGCCACAAAGACTGGCTCAGGGTTGGGCCCCTGGCCACGCCAGGCCAATTAGGGTAAATGAGTAAATGCAGGAACTGATTTTATTTTTATTTTTTTAAAGAGAGCTTGCTTCCTCTTCTGAGAAGACAGTTGTCAGGCTCCCGGGAGCCATCTTCCACCGCGAGGGAGATGGCCAGCCTGCCGATCCCAAGCCCCGGGAAAGACTTAGAGCCACATCAGCCCCACGCCAGAGACTTCTCCCAGGACAATCGTTTCTCTTGATTGATTTGGTAAGTTTAATTTTCGTTCCCATAATCCTGACTGGTTCCACAGGGCTGCACCGACCGCTACAATAGCGGGAAAGACCATCCAGCGGCCATCAACAGGAAGTTAAGTAACTGGCCAGGATCCTGATAACAAAATCTTTCGTAACGATTAAACGCGAGGATGTAGGTCTATAGTTGTACATGTAGAGACGAGTCCACATTATAGTATTGAGTTCTTTTGAAGGTAATAAGACAGCCACAGAATATGCTCTGGACGAGTATGCAGCAGGAGTCTTACCTCCAGGGGGTAGAACCATAATTAAATATATGTAACAACTTTAGTGTTGTCTTGTTATCCTTCAGTGCCAACCTCTTACTTTTCTTTAATGTTTGTATGTTTGTTTGTTTCTTTATTTGGGGGGGAGGGGCAGAGAGAGAGGGAGAGAGCATCCCAAGACTCCACGCTGTCAGCGCAGAGCCCGATGCAGGGCTCGATCCCACAAACTGTGAGATCATAACCTGAGCAGAAATCAAGAGTCAGATGCTTAATAGGCTGAGCCATCCAGACACTGCTAACTTCATACTTTTCTAATCAGAAAAAAAAATTACTTTCACTCTGGAAAAACGAGAGAATATTTGACATGTTGTGTTTTTGAGAGTTCGGAATGTTCCCGTGTCAAAATGGCCACTTAACAGGGCCCCTGGGGCTCAGTCAGTTAAGAATCCAACTTCGGCTCAGGTCATGATCTCACGGTTCGTGGGTTTAAGCCCCGCGCTGGGCTCTGTGCTGGCAGCTCGCAGCCTGGAGCCTGCTTCGGATTCTGTGTCTCCCTCTCTCTCTGTCCCTCCCTTGCTCATGCTGTCTCTCTCAAAAATGAATAAACGTTAAAAATATTTTTTTTAATGACCACTTAACTACACATGCCTAGTGGAAGGGTGGAGGTCCAGTGACGGCAGCCAATGAAGTGAGGATTTGCAGCAGCGGAAACTCTCCTTCCCTGCCCGGTGGGGACGCAAAGTCGTGCAGCCGCTTTGGAGGACATTTTGGTGCCTTCTTAACAAAACCTAAAAAACACACCCTTCCCGTACGATCCAGCAATCACGCTCCTGGGTGTCTCCCCGAAGGAGGTGAAATTTCTATCCACACTAAAATCTCCACGTGGGTGTTTTAGCAGCCGTATTCAACATTATCAAAACTTGGAGGCTTCTGGAACTTCTATACCCTTGCCCCTCAGTGCTCAGCCTGGAACGCCCTTCACACATTCACCCTCCAAAGTTGATCTCAGACGCTTCCTCGGCCAGGAAGTCTTCCTCTGCACTCCCCCAGTA